AGATGGTTCCCCCATGTGTGTGTTCCCTGATCTAACTGGGTGCAGAATATGCCCCAAGTCTTTCCTTGTTAGATGCTTCAATCCTTTTTCCTTATAGGAAGAATTAGTTCCTAGACTTGTCATCATTCTGGTCACTTTTTAATAACTGATTATTCTGAGCACAATCTGAAGTGCTCATCTTCTATTGTACAAAGCTGACAATGGGATTATACAATGACCAAACTGATTTAGCATGATTAAGGGGCTGTAGTCAGTACAACTAGTAACAGATTGACTATTTGGAGTTTTTACAGAATTACTCTCAAATCCCTTTCAGATATTCTTTAGCAAGCAAGAGCTGACATAGTAAAAGCTATAATTTCCCATATGAGGCTTCTGAAAAATGGATGGAAGCGGGAATGATCTATTTGTAGTATAGGAACTATCAACTTTAATATTAATTTTCATTAATTTAGAATGGAAAGCTGCCAAGCCAGATAAATTCTGACATCACTGCCCCTCACTAGTTCACTTGACCAGACTGCTTAAAAAGCAAGACATTATTTTTAAGGGAAGATATAGGAACCCCCAAATCTTTCATACCACCAAGATCTCAGCCTCACCTCCCACTATTGCTGCCAGGAATGAATGTCCAGTTAAGCTTCCTCAGCCTTGCCCCCTGCCTATAACTTAACTCTCTGTTTTCTGGCCTTTCCTAAGAATGTCACTCCCATCTCCTCTACCTGTGCTCCAAGGAATAATGCAAATCCCACCCCAACCAGAGGAGACTCTCTCTGCTCTGACTCCACACACTCATTGCTGTTTTGCTTCTTTGGCCCTGAACCCAGATAGCCATATGCCACTAATATATCAGTAGGTGTATGTGTTCAATCTCGAGGGCAGAGACCACAAACTTCTAGCACAAGACCTTGCTTACAGTAAGTGTGCCAAAAACACTTTATAGATTGATTCTTACACACACACACACAAGCCCCCCAAAAAACAAAAAAATGGAGGGCAAGGAAGAAGAAAAGGCAGGGCAAATGACCTGCTTGCAGGGGGGAGCTCTGCAAACAGTTGCTCTGGCTAAGAAAAAAATAGAATGGAATTTGCATCTCTTAGAAAGAGCAAGAATCTATTTGCTCTTTGACCTTTCCAACACAAGTCAGGTCTATCCAGGCTTGGAATTAGTCCTTTTACATAAAAGGAAAGCTAAAGGAGTTATGGAATAATAAAAGAAAAAAAGGTAGAGATCAGTTGATGCTGTTCTAGAGTGCTTTTCTGGCTGACAATTTTTCCATGAGCAAGTGTGGCAAGTATGGCAGGTGTGCCCTCTCCATGCCTTTCTTCAGCCTAAATAACCCAAATTCCAATTTTACCCTTAAAACTTATTTCCATCATCCCCATCCCAGCAGGAGACAGAAAGCTGAGGGTATGCCTGTTGAGACCCAAGGGAAAGGTGCCACATAGATGATGGGTCAGCCTAGCTCTGGATGCAGGTGTTTAAGCAGAATCTCATTTTTACTGGCATCTATTTTTGATTTACATCTCTCTACTCTGATTTGGGCCCTGAAAGGGGTAAGTATTCCCACTTGGGCAAAGGTCATCCCCAGAAATGACAATGGACAAGGAGGCCAGGCAGGCAGAGGCTGGCTCACTCTCCCACCCCTAGCAGGAGTCCCCATCTTTCTCTTCTGGCTCTTCCTCCTTCTCTTTCTTGTCCCACCCCAGCTATGTCTGTTTTTCTGTCCTTTGTCTTTAAATCTCTTTCTCCCTTTCTTTCTCTGCATCCCTTGCCTCTCTTTCTCTTCTTCTTCTTCTTCCTCTTCCTCTTCCTCTTCCTCTTCCCCTTCCCCTTCCCCTCCTCCTCCTCTTCCTCCTCCTCCTCCTCCTCCTCCTCTCTCTCTCTCTCTCTCTCTCTCTCTCTCTCGTGTGTGTGTGTGTGTTTGTGTGTGTGTGTGTTGGGGGATTGTCTGTCTTTCTCCTTCTGTGTAAGTATACACTGTGCTCCCTGTCTCTTCCCATTCTCATTCTCTATCTCCCTGGCTCCTCTCTGGTGTGGCTTTTCTGTAGGACACCTGGGCTGGGAGTTAGAAGACCTAGTATGTGGTCCTGGCTCTACTATTCACTAGCTGTATGGTTACTTTACAACTCTGGGCCTCAATTATCTCAGTTATATAGTAGGTTAGCCTGTATGCTTTTTTGGGTCCTTAACAACGCTGAGATTTGGTCACGGAATGAAGTGAAACTCAGTTAACTCATGATGCGGTTGCTGTTGTAGAAACAGGAGAATTAGGCTGGGCGTCCCTAACAGCACAGGCACCAGGGGGCGCCCAAGGACCACTCAAAGAGGATGTGACTTAACTGCGGATATACTATGTGCAAGGCAGGCACTGTGCTCGCATCTCATTCAGTCTGATAAGGTAGGTAATATTATTGCTATTTTGGAGGTGAAGAAACTGAAGCACCAAGAAGTAGGCAACTTGCCCAAGGTCACACAGACAAGATCTGTCAGAAGAGGACTTAAACTTAGGCTGCCTGACTTGAGTCCATGCTTTTACCGACGGTACTACACTGCCCTAGCCACTGATGTTCGCTCTGTGTGCCCCAGCCATTGATACTCGCTCACAAGCTTCCCATGTCGGCTACTAAGTAAACAACTCTGGATTCCAAATGAGTGCTATCAAAATTATATACAAACATATGCAAAACTGTGGAAGCATATTTGTGTATGTGTGTCTACTGTGATCCTGAAAACTAGGACAAGCTCATGCATAGCTAGGAGTCCAGAGGACCAAAAACACAGTTCTTTACACCAACCCTCAAGTGTATAAGTTCAACACCCTTCTGAAGCCCAACTCAGACACCTGTCAAGCATGAATGGCTGTTTGGGTGTCAGGTAAGCAACTGAGACCCATTGCCAGATTTAGTAGTCCTTATTTTTCTACTTTTCTTTGTGTCTATCCCAGTGTCAAATACACAGTGAGTGAGTGGGCCAATGGGTGAGTGAAATTGTGTTCCCATAATTTATATTCAAATATACTGAAAAGAACAATAGAATTAGCCACTCTGGGAAATTCGGTTCCATCACAACTACTCCATAATCTTCTGCTTGCTTTTGCATAGTACTAATGATATGATGAACTGATAGAGTCTTAATTCCAAAAAGGCTCTCATTTTTAAAGCATGTTGTAAAACAGCCACAGGTGTAGTTTTATTGTACTTTTTCTTAGCCTTAGTTTAGATGTCATGGTGGCCACAGAAAAGTCTGATGACAGCAGTTCCCTAACAGTCTGAGTCTGTTAAACCACTCTCCTCTTGGGGAAGCCTTCTACACATCCTCCTCCCAGCCCCTCTGGCCTTCCACACACCCTCCTCCCAGGCCCTCTGAAGTGTTCAGAGCCCATCCTAGGATAACAGCTGTAAAAACAGCAGGAAGGTGAAGAGGATGACACAGATACCCTGCACCTCACAGCCCAGATCATTGCTGCACATCATGGAGAAGTCACTGAAATAGCAATGCTTTTCCTTTGTGCCTTCGGAGGCTGGCACCTCACTCTGTCTCAATCACAGGCTGCCTCCCATGCTCTCCTATGCTCAGGGATGATATATTTATCAGGATGGCTCCAGATGGCAGGAAAAGGCAACTGATTCACTTGCTTCTCCACTCCCAGCAGGTCCCACAAGGGTTTTAGAGCTGGGGCCAGCATATCAGCAGTGCCCATTTCTCCTGGAACTGAGGTGTCACCTCTGATGACTCAATCAATGTCCTAGTCAGGAGATGCCACTGCAAGGGAGTGAGGACAGCCCAAGAAGGGAGGGGGGCATGCCTGAAGGTCCACCTACTCCTAAGATTGACTGCATGAAGACCATCCCCTCCCCCCCCGAAGGTGTCACAGTCAATGATAAGAGTGTTCCACTCTCCTTCCACTCTGCCTGCCTACCTCAAGCACCCCGTGTCAGGGGCCCCTCCAGCAACAGTTGTGAAGGGAACCAACACCCCAGAGACATGTACAGTTGGAGCTCAATTTTCCATGCATATTTTTTGGACTATACTTTTGGACTATAGCACATCAATAACACAGAAGGGTGAAAGGAGAGTGAATTGTATAGTCCTGAAATTACAGTGGCCACAGAAAAGTCAGATAACAGGTGTTTGAGCACAAATGCCCCAGCCTGCCTTCTATACACAGTCTCAATCTCAATCCTGAGCTCCCAGCCAGCTCCCACTGGCCCTAGTATATCAGTCTTCCAGCAAAGCTTCCAGGGACCCCAATGAGACAGAAACAGAGAAAGTTCAAGGGGGGAAAGAATGGGTTATTTCATCTGAAAGGGCACTTGTGGCAAGGCTATCCTTTTGTGGTCAGAAACATAACCATTTCTTCATTATTTGTGGTAAAGGAAAAGCCATGACTAGTTATAATAATACAAAAAACCCACAAAAACAAAACAGATAAAGCCAGAAATAACCTGTAATCATGGACTGTACAGTGAACAACAGTCCATGTTTTAAATCTGGTTTCCCAGGTCTAACCTTGCCACTAAAAGTTCTTATACCCCACCAACCCCCACTCTAGCAGGCCATCTACATCCCCAATGGAGAAATGAGCTCACTTTATGTGGGTTCTACCTCAGATGGTGCTCATATAACTCCCCAACCCCCCAGAGTTGTCCAGCAACTTCACTGCCTGAGTAAGGGTAAAGCTGACCAAAAGAAAAATGTGCCACATGACCACAAGGCATTGCTCTTCCTGAGACTGAGTCTCCAACTGCACACAGTAAGAAGGCCTGGTCTATAAAGCAGCTTAGGCAGGAAGCATGAAATTCACAAATCCCATTTTTGTGGGGTTTTTTTGTTTTTGGGGTTTTTTTGGTGGGGCTTGGGGGAGTAGTTGGGGGCTAAACTGTCATAGTCTCTCCATAATCTTGGGTTTTCCCAGGCCTGATCACCTAGGTCAGGGACTCGAGCTTGGCCTGCCTCTCAGGATAGATGACCAGTGCAGGGGAGTAGAGCCTGTTACCTGCTGCACGTCCTGCTGGAAGACGCAGAGCTGCAGCCGCTGGTGGAGCCGCACCTTGCGGTGCTGCCAGATGCTCTCAAGTCGTCTTTGGTGGTGCAGCACCTCGTGCACCACATCCAGCACCTGGTGCACCGCCTTGGAGTAGTTGGCTGTGGCTGTGAGGGACTCAGAATTTCCAGGACTCAAGGGACGCTGCAGTACATCCAGCAATGCTTTGCCATCCTGGCTGACCTGCAGGAAGGAAAGGAGTTCAGTCAAGGGAGAGGAACCAAGACAGAGCAGAGAGAGAGAGGCAGGGAGAGTAGTCCTGGGGGTCCCTGATTAGGCCTCCTGATAATTTTTTTTTTTTGAGTTGGAGTCTCACTCTATCACCCAGGCTGGAGTGCAGTGGCACACTCATGACCACCACAGTGTTGACTTTCTGAGCTCCCATGATCCTTCTGCCTCAGCCTTCCAAGTGGCCGGAACCACAGGTGTGTGCTACCATGCCCAGTTAATTTTTGATTTATTATAGAGACGAGGTCTTGCCACGTTGCCTGGGCTGGTCTCGAACCCACAGGCTCAGGCAATCCTCTCGCCTTGGCCTCCCAAAGTGCTGGGATTATAGGTTGAGCCACTGAGCCCAGCCCTCCTGAGTATGTCAAGCCTCCCCAGCCCTGTGACAATCAAGGAATATACTAGCTGGCCAGAGCTCCCACAGTGCCTATCCTGCGGAAAGGGAGGGCAGAGCTCCCCAGAGCCCTGGGGCAGGGGCTTTGCTGGACCTCTGGCCAGTTATCTGTGAGACTTTCTCTCCCCTCTTGAATTTTAGCTCCATGAGTGCAGGGACTCTGCTTGCTTGTTGCTTTCTCCCCATTGCCTGGCACATAGTAGGCACTTGATAAATATTTTAACTGACTCCCTGACTAGGTTGGGCAGCAGAACTTCATTTCAGAAATGAAACCAGATGTAAGTTGCCACCATAATCCTTTCCTGATCTTTCTTCCTCCACTTCCTCTATCTGTCTCCAAACTTCTAGATGTGTGAGGCAAGTTACTTAACCTCTCTGAGCCTCAGTTTCTCTGTCTGCAAAAAAGGATAATTATGGTACATTCCTCATAAAGTTGTGGTGAGGACTAAATGAGGTAACACATGGAGTTCTGAGAATGGGGCCTGAAATGTAGCGTTGGCTACCAAGGTCCTCGTCATCGTCGTCGTCATTTCTCCTCCCATCCTCTTTATTTTCTCGTCATTTCTGTTACCTTTGTACTTAAAAAAATATATTTTTCTCTCCCTCTATACAACCCCCTTCTTTCTCCTGAAAAGCAGTCATAGCCCCATTGATCTAGAACATGCAGAGTAAGGTAGGGACCCATATACTATGGACATATCATCCATGCTCCAGGACTCCCAACACTTGCCCTCAGTCTGACAGCAGCGGGGTGACATTCTCTGTCATTCCTCTCATTGGGATCCTGGCACAGTCATGGGCACAAATAATTCTGGAAAGCAGCATCACTGGATCCATACCTGTGGCCCCCAGTGCTTGGCAGAGTACCCGGGAAAACATGTGTCTTTTTCATTTAAAACAGTGATAACTGGGACATTGATGGGAATTTTAAGTTCCCAAATTAACTTGGTTAACAACTAAATCAAACTTGGTTTGAAGTCTTCTCCAAAAGAAGGCTTTTGGAGAAAGAAATGGTCTTCTTTTCCTGTCAGCAAGGTAGTGAAGATACCCTTCCAACTCTACCCCACTGATGATAAGTGGGGAGCTGCCTGCCAGGCTTGCATCCTCCCCTACTCCTCCTTTGTCCCTAATAGTAGCTTGGTGGGGGGCCTGGGAATTCAGGGGCAGCTGGTACTCCTGCTCATGGGACCACAGAGATGCTCTCAGGGCTGGCAGGTGACTAAGAGGAATGTTGCAGGGGCAAGAGAAGAAATCACCACTACCCACCCAATCCCACCACCCCACCTCCCACAATTTATTGCCGGGGACGGGGAGGGGAAGTAGTTTATAAATAATGCAGAGATAATGCCCTCTAGAACCATGAATAAGACAAATATCCTCTGGCCAAATCCAGGAGAGTTCTCTTCTGGAAATTCTGAGCAAATGCTGTCATTGGTGCTATGCTATGTCATGGTAGGGTAGTTAGAGACAGAGGGCCAAGTCCTAAAACTCCAAGTCAACATGAGCTCCAGTCCTCTGCCTCAGTCTCTCCAACTGAGGACAGCCCACTGATCTCAGATGTGGGCTTGGAGGGCACATCTAAGTCTCACAATGCTAGGGCCTGATAAATTAATTGGGAGAAATATTATGTCAATGTGTACGACTACACCCACACCTCAGAGGTGTGAAACATGTAAGTATAATATTAATCTCATTTGTAGTCTCTATTTGTGTATTTTTTACAGGGAGTAGATTTAGAGGTTCTTGATCCATGAGCAGAAGCACAGTTCTATTATGAGAGAAAGCGCTGGGTCATTTGGTTCAGAGCTGATGAGATCAGATTTGGGTTATGAGTCCTCCTCTGTGCCTACTACAATGATAAAATGTTACCACTTTTTAGTACTTATTACTGTCGGGCACTGGGCCAGGTGCATTACATATATTATCTTTATAGTCCATAATGCTACCCTATGAGGTAGGCATTACCATCTTCATTTCATAGAAGAAGCAAGATCCAGAGTGTTTAAGTAACTTGCCTGAGGTCACACAGCTAGTAAATAGAGGAGCCATGATTCATGATCGGTTTTAACTTACCTAGCCACTGGTTCTTAGACTTTTATATGCATCAAACTCACCTGGGATAACAGCTATCAAAATGTAGCTTTCAGATTTCACTTCTTGACATTATGGATTCAGTCTGGTATGGAACCCAGGAATTTACATTTTTAACTGGCATCTCAGGTGAGTCTGATACAGGTGGTCCGGGAACCCATTTTAACAAACACTCCTGCAGCTGACCTGGCCCCAGAGGAAACACATGTGCTGGATGCAAATTCATTCTCTCCACCTCATCCAGCTTCCTTAATCAGCCCATCTTTCTCCACCCTTCAACCCTGCTACCTCAAAACTCAGGTCAGTTAGTAAATCCATTTACTTCTGTATGCTCATGCAGATGCACTTGTATGGACCTTGCCTTTTGCTTTAAGAGAACTTTTTTTTTTTTTTTTTTGAGTTGGAGTCTCACTCTGTCGCCCAGACTGGAGTGCAGTGGCCGCTCCCGGCCACCGCAACCTCGACCTACTGGGCTCTGGCGATCCTTCTGCCTCAGCCTTCCAAGTAGCTGGAATTACAGGCGTGTGCTACCACGCCCAGCTGATTTTTTGATTTATTGCAGAGATGAGGTCTCGCTGCCCAGGCGGGTCTCGAACCCGCGGGCTCAGGCAATCCACTCACATCAGTCTCCCAAAGGCGCGGGATTTCAGACTGAGCCACCGAGCCCGGCTTAGAGAACTTTTAAGAAGTTTTTTTTTCCCCTTAAGTTTGTAGTTTCCCCTGCTTTTGACTTTTGGAAGAGCCTTTTGGTTTACCTTCACATGCAAAGTAGCTTCTCACTCCTGCAAACACTTGTCTCCACACTGTGTGTTTTCCTTTGGATCTTTTAGTGAAAAAATTATTATTTTTTGATAAGTTGCCTCACAAATGGGTGGCAGGAGTAGTGTGTATGCATTCATTCACCAACCAGAAAGCAAACTCCAAGGATGCACAGCTTTGTTTCCTTATATCCCTCCCCAAAGAGTAGAAAGTTTAATCTTCACACACAGGGTGAGGCAGGTGTGTTGGCATGTGTGAGACAGAGAGAGACAGAGAGAAAGAGAGAAATGAATATGTGTGTGCATCCAGGTGGTGCTTGCTAATGGCCCTATTTTTATCTGTGTCCTGACTGGAGACATCATAGTTCATAGATTAAGGTTCCTAAAGATGTCACCATAAAGATAAAAACAGCCTCTCCTTAGCCCCACCCAGCCTGTCTCACAGTATATAGGCTAGCATTGTCACCACCCACCTACATGCAGCTATGCCTAAGACCCTTGGTTGCCCTGCTTGGCTCTTACCTCTGTGTAGGCCTGGGTCACCTGCTCATACAAGGTCTGGTGGTGGTGGATCGCCAGCTCCAGGTCCTGCATCTCGGAAGGCAGGCCACCTTCACTGCACATCTTGCACCAGGCGTCCACTCCTGATAGGAACTAGAAGGAGAAGCCGGTGGGTCAGTGTGGGAAAAGTGGGGTTAGGGAATGAGCAGGTTATAGAGAGAGGGTCAGATATCTCGGGAAGAAAGAGCAGAACTTTCAGAAGCCTTCAGAGACCACTGTAGAGGGTGAAGTTTTTTCTTTAATTCTACAAACACTAACCCCTGGTAAGAAATCAGACCCAGTCACCTGTTTAGGAAGGAGAGTTTCCACAAAGATGACTGTTGAAAAACTATAGGGGGCAAGGTGAGTTGGCTGGATGTTCAACAGATTATACCTACACAAACTATAAAGTACAGGTGTGGAAACAGTTCACCACATCCCACAGATACAACAGGACTTCTTGCCCTGAGCATACTCACTGGCACAGGCCAGGGGCTTCGTGTAACCTCATGAGATGTTTCCATACCTGCGCTTTACAGTGTGTATGTACACTGACTTGTGAACAGGAGCAAAAACCTCCTGACACAGAACCATCAGAAACCCCAGGGAACTTGCAGAGACCATTCCCATGAGGGATGGAAATGGCTGTCAACAGGACTCCCACTTTGGGGTCAGTCTTCTGAGGGATAGAAGGGGGAAGGGCAGCCTAGGGGGGGCTACAGTGGCAGTGGCTCCTGGGATTTGATCTATAGATACAGATCTTGATAGATATCAATTATTTAAAAAATTACAATTAACAACTGTGGAAGACTATGGGTTTCCATGAACAAAGGGTGAGCTAACTGAAATCAACCAAATTCATAGGGTGGAAAAATGTACCTTTAAAATGCAAATAATTTTTTACCCAACAGTCTGGAATGGTTCTGTGTATGACTCCCCTCGCCTGAGTGCACAGCTACATTTAAATTAATTGCCTAAATACTTTTTTAAACCATTGCCAAGAACAGCCCATATGAGGACAATAAAAAACTGCCTAAATACATAGAAAAAAATAGCCTTGAATCAGCCCCACCCACCCCTCCCCCACCCAGTTAAAAAGAAACCTGGTTTATGAGTGTCCCTGAAGGACTGGTAATACTTGAGAAAATCACATTAAAAAATAGATACAAATAAAATTGCTTCTGATCCAAGCCAGTCCAAGTAAGGAAACATGAAATAAACATTAACTCCTTCAGTCACTCTCAGTTCTGGTATTGTGTTTTCCTCTGCAACTGCTTGAGTTCTAGTCTTGATGTTACTGTCAGCTTTCAGTCCCTAGCATGGTGGCTGTTGTGGTTGATTTTTCATTCTGAATGTTCGGCTATTTCTTAGCAATTCTGGAAGAGTGCCAGGTACCATTCAGAATTAGATCTTATGTACTTGTTGACATCTCAGCAGTTTCTCTGCTCTACCAATATCTACTTTATAGTTTCAGTTTAGTTGACATTTTTGCCAATCAGGAAGAAGGACTGGGAGAGGTAACCTCTTCAAGGACCTTGGAACTTTTCTGTAATACTCCAATAAGGGTTCTACAGCAGATCCCACAAAATTGTCAGCTCGGAGATTGAGCTTGCCAATCTGGATAAGCCTCAAATAAAGTATACAACTGATAAAGTATGCAAATGACTGGGTTGGAGAGAGAACAAGAGATTAGACATCAATATCGTCACAGTCCTAAAAATGAAAAGGCACTATTAGTCACTACCACCATCATTGTTAACAACAATAACCCAAAAAGGTATGGCTAGATCTCTCTCAAATTATAGGACTGTGCTTGACTTGTGACACAAGTTTTTATTTCAATCTTTGAGACATTTACAGGTGGAAATAGACACAAGGAGAAGAAATAAAAAGATACCAGATAGTATGTTGAACAAATATCCATAACAGTAATGACTACTGTTTAGTATGTATACTAGGAACCCTACATGTTCCATCTCTAACATTATATCCTTCTAACAACTCTGTGAGATTTATAATTAGCTCCACATTAGAGATGAGGAAAGAAGTTCAAAATGGTGAAGTGGGGCTGGCATTAGAATCCATATCTAGTCTCGTAGTCCAGACTCTTTTGATTGTAACATAATGCCTTCCATGTTAGAGGGAGTAACAGAGGGAGATTTAAGGTATGTCCAGGTGTCTGACTCTCCTTTACCTGTGTTGCCCAAATATGACATAAAGAAAGAAAATTAGAGGTTAAGACCACACGCTTTAATGTTAGACATATACCTGTTTTGAAACCCCAGCTGTCCATAGATTGTGTGATCTTAGCAGTGGTATGTTGGTAAATGTTTAACAACTAGTGTGTATGTATATATATATAAATATGTGTGTGCATATGTGTATATGCATATATATTACATATGCACAGGTAAGTGCATTACAAATTTTGCTGATATAAAGGATAAATGCTCTTTATTGTAAATTTCACATAACCAGTTGATTCTCACAGGATGCTTTTGTCAACTTTTAATTTATCCACAGTCAATCTATGGCTGCAACTGACAAACTTGTATAGTTCTGACACAAAAGCTGGTTGATATTTTCATTCATATTAAGGAGTAAAACAAAAGTGAAAAACACCTAAGACTTCTGTCAGAATATCACACTTACTTGTTTACCAATGATGTGACTTCTTTACTCAATTTAATAATATTGTTTGAATATAGAAGGAAGGAATATTTGATTTGAATGTACTTTTCACAATGTAACAGCTACAGATAGGACACATTTTTAAGTTTAGTCTACTATTTAAAACATTTTCTCCCTCATTTTCTTAAGACTCTAGACAATCAGTAAAATAGTAAGTAAAGACCTGGTCTGTAGCATTTGATGATTTCTATAGTATTAAACTCCAAGAACACAGAAAATAAAATATAATAAAATAGGAAGTGATGAGTTTTGAGTACTGTTGTTAACACATTTAATGATAAACTTATATAATTTAGTTTTAAGTAGTGACTGTTTTTAACAACCAGCTCACAAAATTCCTAGAAATTTAATAACCAGCTCTCCATGAGCTGGGTCAAGCCAGGCTCCAACACATTATGGGATCTTATTAAATCTCTCTGAACCTCAATGCTCCTCTCTGTAAAATGGATGAATAAAGTCACTGGCCAATGGTTGGCCATGTAGTAAGTAAATGGCAAGAAGTAATTATTGTTTCTACCAGTTACATTATTATTACATTATTATTGTCATCCATAGCAAACACTTCATGTAAAATTAGTCTCCCCTGCTCTCAGCACTCAATGATCACTTTACATTCACCCTTTGGTCTATGCTCAAAGAATGTAAACTAAGAGGACAGTCAACACACACACATATGCACCTAAAAACCAACTACTAAGCAGAATGTAAATAGGCTCTGCACTGTGTCTTGTTTGGATGGCAAATGAAGCTACCAAGAATTACCAATGTTTCTCTGTGTATGCAGGGGGCATGAAAGTGGTAGAAGATGGGTTACTGTTTCAGTGATTCAGTAGGGTCTACAGTGTTTCAAAATGATAGGAGAGGCTCTCTGTAGAGAGAGTGCATGTGCTCCTACCTGCCCTCCCCTGACCCCCATCCTTCCCATTGGCAGCAGCTGCCACAGGTCCCTGGGCCTCACCTGCTCAGCCTTCTGGTGGAACACAGCAGACATGGCAAGGATGGTGCTGCGTTCATCAAGGGCAGCAGCGAAGCTCTTCCACTCCTGGTCCAGTTGGGTGGAAATCTGCTTGATTTGCTGTGAGGCATAATGGCCAGCCTCAGAGAGGCGGGAAGCCACGGACATGATGCGGTTGATGTTGACATAGGCGTTCTGAGAAGCAAAGGAGAGTGAGTGCTCAGTGGGTCAGGCTGAAAAGACATCCATAGAGAATTTTTTTTTTTTGAGTTGGAGTCTCACTCCATCGCCCAAGCTGGAGTGCAGTGGCATGCTCATGGCCACCCCAGTGTCAATCTGCTGGGCTCAGCCTTCCAAGTAGCCAGAACTACAGGTGCATGCTACCACAACTGGTTAATTTTTGATTTATTGTAGAGATGAGGTCTTGCCAAGTTGCCCAGGCTGTTCTCAGACCTGTGGACTCAGGCAATCCTCTCACCTTGGCCTTCCAAAGTGCTGGGATTATAGGCTTGAGCCACCACGCCCAGACCATAGAGCATTTTAGGGGGTACATATTTGAGGAACTGGGCTACCCAACATAAAAAGTATGAGAGGTTGGTACAGGCCATACTAGTAGTATTTGCTTTTAGTCCAAGAGAAGTCTTTCTCTACGACAAAATCTCAGCAGATAGAAGGGACAGTAACCAAGACCTTTCATTACAGGGAAACAGAATAGATGCTGTGCCAACTATTTTTTTTTTTTTTGAGTTGGAGTCTCACTCTGTCACCCAGACTGGAGTGCAGTGGCCGCTCCTGGCCACCGCAGCCTCGCCTGCTGGGCTCCGGCGATCCTTCCACCTCAGCCTTCCGAGTAGCTGGAATTACAGGCGCGCGCTACCACGACCGGCTAATTTTTTGATTTATTGTAGAGATGAGGTCTCGCCAAGTTGCTCAGGCGGGTCTCGAACCCGCGGGCTCAGGCAATCCACTCACCTCAGCCTCCCAAAGGCGCAGGATTACAGGCTGAGCCACCGAGCCCAGCTTGTGCCAACTATTAATGCACCTTAATGCAGTTACCTTACACAAACTAGCTTAGGTAATCTTTACAACTATCTTATAAGGCCATTCCAGGGGGACAGCACAAAACTTTCAAGAGTACTCTTTAGAAGCACTGGCTTAGAATAGGACATAAGCTGAAGGAAGCAAAGACATTTCTCTTGCTCGGGAGAGGGCTGCACCCAGGGCACTGTTGCCATCTACATACGACAGAGTAGCAGTATTCACCAAAGAGGACAAAAGAAGCACAATAATTCTACATCTTCCTGTCACTTAGCAAAGATGTCTCTCCCTTCCTCCTGCCTCGCTCCTCCTGCCAAAAGAGCTGAGGCCATCAGTCAGGGTTTAAATAAAGACAGCATTTGAAGCCACACACTTCTCCTGGCCAGTAATAAGGTCTGTGGAAGCCTTTCATATTACTGCTTGATTTAGGAACATTTTTTCACCTCATCTCAAAAGGTGCATACCCAAAGAGGCACTGGTAGGGGCTCTCTTGGGCCCACTTTCTTCTTTCATCTTGTGTTTTGTTTACATGTTTTGTTTATCTTCATTCCCATCTTTACTTGCCAGTTAAAAATTCATGAACATGGTGTTGTTTCCTACTAGGTCAGCAAAAACCCCTTTAGGAAGGAACAAGACAAAGAAAGACCCCACAAACAAAAGACAGTAATGATTATAGTTATTTTTAACTGCAACCTCCTATTAATTGTCTGAGGTGTCAAAACAACCAAGTAATATTGTGGCATCCATAAGGAGCTTTTCTAACTCACACAATGTCTGCCCGAAGAAGGACTAGGGTGGCAGGTTATTCACACACCTTCATTCTTTGTTGTGATTCTCAAATGATTAGAAGTATTCCTCAGTAACAGCATTCTCTCTAGGTTCTATGAGCTCAGGTATAGTTCATTAATACTGGGTAGGTTTAATGAAGGTTCTTTATTTCCCTCTCCCATCTCCCTCCCTCATGATCTCCATTCATCTTTGCTGTCCCCAACCTCTAAACACTCCATCCCAAACCTAGGCCAGGTTAATAGGGTCTCTCTTAATTTAAAAGGCCTCTGTGGAAGTGTAAAAGGTTAAGTGAAGTACTTGAGCACAAATCCATCCTGATGTCGAATGGCCCCCATGCGTCATCTCTTATTTTAGTCTGGCCAGAGACCTTTGTGACACAGTACATTTCCTTAATAGAACTAGAATATTATTGACTCTTGTTATGTGAAATAACTATCCTTCAAATATTTAGGAATCATTATCACCCCTGTTTCCTGAGTGAAGACACAAATTCTAATAAAAATTAAGCTATTTATAGAACTCACAGAAATAAAGGGAAAGGGGGGAGGGAGAGAGAAAGAAGCTCACAGCTGAGACTTAAGACAAGTCCTCAAATAACTGACACACACACACACACACAGAGAGAGAGAGAGAGAGAGAGAGAGAGAGAGAGAGAGAGACAGAGAGAGAGAGAAAGCCAGAAGGCCTGCACTGATTTGAAGAATTTTGTCTTCTACACGAAGAATAACATTGACCGTCCCCCAGATTTCCTGCTTATGTCATTGTCTTAGTTTGGGTTCTTCCTAAAGCAGACCTTGAGACAAGGATTTGGGGCAGATAGTTTATCTGGACTGGACATGTTCCCTGGAAGTCTAGTGCAAGAGACGGGGAAGTCAAAGAGGAAAGGGAGGGAAATGAATAAAGAACATGGTAGTTAGTTGGGTTAGTGCTGTGAGCATCTGAGGTTCAATCCTTCCTGAGACCTTTTGAGAAACTCTATGATAACATACCTCTGAGCTGTCCCGCTAAGTGGTGAGGAATCTGGGCCATTGACACACTAAGTCCCATGTTCATTGGTAGAAGGTTGCTCCTGGGATAAGTCCCCATCATGTCCAGCCTGACCCACACACAGGCCAATCACACTCCCAAGGTCAGAGTGTGACCATAGCAGAGAAATTTAGACAGCAGTCAGTTTGCATGAGAATCCCCTGCAGATGATCCTCAGGGTAGGCTGAGGCAATATGGGAGGGGCATTGACAGTGTCTGATAGAGCTGGAATCAAATCCTGAAATCTGCTTCCCTCGTTCCACTATCCATATCTGTCTAGGTTGTTGGGTTTTCATGTTCTGGAGAAAGGCCTCGTACGCTTTGACCAGATGGGAGAAATGCAAGAAAGCAATAAGGGCAAGGCATTACCCTATGCCTAGATACATCCTATGGACACCCAGTCCTTTGTCATTACCGCCTTGTTTACATTCTCTTCCCTCCCAAGGAGCATAGGGAGGCAGATTTCTGCTTTTAGGAAGAACTTCCTAGCTATTAGAGATGTCCAACTGTGGCTGCCTCTGGAGACTGTTAACACCTTGTCACTCATTCAAATATTTATAGAGAGTGGGCCAGGCTCTGTGTTGGGGGTTGTAGGAGATCAAAGAGGAATGAGACAGGATTCCTGCCCACCACCCCCCCTGCCCTCAGGGGCTCACAGCTGAGACTTAAGACAAGCCCTCAAATAACTGTAATTTAAAGCAAAACGAAGTAAGTGCATTCACAGAGGTAGAAGCAACTCCCTGTGGGTGTTCAGAGGGAAGGGATCTGAGCCACTGCCAGGGCTGTTAGAAAGTAGTTTTCTGCACAAAAAGGGGTGGGGAGGCTGGCAGCCCTCCATGGTCCCCTTCAGCCCTTCAGCCTGTGATTGTAGATTAAAACTAAATTTAAATAAACAAAAAAAGGCCACAGCTTAAGGCTCACATTCTAGACTAGCACAGTAAATGATTTTATGTTTCCTTATCAACAGGCAGAGAAATGTCTTACTAAAACTAACAAATTCACAAAAGAAGTAAAGGCAACATCCCTCACAATAGAGGGACAAATATAATGATGACTCATGAATTTACTCATTGTTCTTCCCTGTAGCCCCTTTTGAGACTATCAAAACATTTCAGGCAGGTCACATCGCCTACGTTTATCATCTCCTTTATTTTCCTTTACCCTGGGACTGAGAGACATGGGCAGAGAGATTCTAAACTGCAGCCATTCTTGAATACAAGGACAGCCACACACTAAATGAGAAGGGAGAATGGCAGGGAAGGTCTCCAGTAACTTCAAAGGAAAGAGCGAGGTTAAAGAGCTAGATGAAGAGTCTGAATAAATAGGAGTGCTTAGTCATTAAGCATAAATAACATTTCATGGCCTTTGGTCAATTCACTGTGTGGCTTTTCTGGCTGACAGTTTATACCTCTGTTAAGGAACATTTGGGAGACATGTTTGTCCTTGAGGCATGGCCAGCAGGAATGGATATTTTGGCTCTTTATGGTCTTTTCAGTTCCTACCAGCTGCCCCCACCATTCTATCCCATCTGCCTGGCTCTACTATTCTTCCCTGCCTGCCTTAAATGCCTTTCCATCTGCAGAGCTGCCCATCAGTCAAGGGCATCAAAGTCACTGGGCCAGGAGTCAAAAGACATGAGTTGTGGTCCCAATTCTGGCACTCACTTAAGATGTCACCATTTGACTCATCTGTACCTCAGTCTCCTCATCTGTAAAATGAGGGAGTTGATCTAGTGGTCTCAGACATTCCAGTTCTGAGTAAGCAGTGTCTGTTTCAAGAGACCAGGAGAGTAGTGCTACCTACCCCACAGGTATACGTGGCCCAGCCTCATTGTCCATGTGTCTCAGCACCTCATTCTGGCTCTGCCCACTGCCCTGTAGTGTGAGGACCAAGGTTGGAGGTGGACCTCCAGGTGATCAAGGACCTCCAGGTAACCAAGGACCAGCTTCCCCTCTCCCCCTTCTCCTCTTCAGCCCCTTCCCCTGAGCTGAACTATCCAAAGTAACCAGCTTTCCTGGCCAGAAGGTCATGACTTGACTAATAATTCTGGTTTGAAGAGTATCTTCTTAAATCTTTATGTCAGAACTACTTAATTTAAATATACATACATGGTGCTGCTGTTATTATCGTTATTCAATGTGTGGCATAGGCCAAGATATAACCACAGTCTACCTCACAGAACACAATGCAACTGCAGCATGGTCAATTGCACTATCCACACAACTTTACCTCCCCTCAAAGCTCTCCTCCCACTATTTGATCACAAATAGGAAAAATAACTAATTCCAGTACTCTTGCTGACTCCAAAACCCTCTATATTGACCCCTGCACCCACTTTTGTT